CATATCACAAAATTTCCAACACTAGGAGATCACACAAAGCAAAGGAATAGAGATTCTCGCAACACTCAACGCCGTGACTTCCAGGGTCTGGAGTGCCTGAAAAACAGAGCACATCCCCTCCACACCCTGAGACCATCAACGGACACAGCGGCAACCCGAAACGTCCAACCTGCTCGCAAGTCCCACATGACAGCTGGGCTGGAAGCCGCAGCGATGATATATTGTTCTGGTCCGAAACAGAGAATAATAGAGCTTAAAGAGCACTCGGTGGCGGTACAATACAGCAGACAAAGAGAGAGCATGTTCAGAGTAAGAAAGTAAAGGCATTTTTCTATATACATAGGACAGATTCAACACTAAGGCCCAATTCAAGTGCTGCTCAGGCCATTCAGAGCAAGAGAACAAAATAACAACGAGGCTAAAGCAGAAATAAAACACATTACACCCTTGTAGATAAAGTAAACGAGTGCTGTGTAAGGATTTGAATATTATTTGATTAATAAATCGGCAGCAAAAAACGATAAATCTTCAGCCTGGATTGAAACAAGAATGTAGTAAAATTGCTCGCTTAGCGCCGACCGTAGTCAGTGCCTTTTTGTGTGAGTTCGCTTCTCTTCAACGGCTAGATCCATCTGGCGCTTGGAAATACAGCACAGGAGTTTGTGTGGTGGATCAATGATCTCAGCCTCAGTTTTCCTCTCCTGCTTGCCGCTCGCGACATTTCTGTCTCCGTAAATGCTCCACAGCCGGTCCGAATCTCGCGTCCTCATCGCAGGTGATGATGGCCCTGTCGAGCCACCTGAGCTCGGTGGAGTCGGAGAAGCAGAAGCTGCGGGCTCAGGTGCGCCGGCTCTGCCAGGAGAACCAGTGGCTGAGGGACGAGCTGGCCGGGACGCAGCAGAAACTGCAGAAGAGCGAGCAGAGCGTCGCACAGCTGGAGGAGGAGAAGAAGCACCTGGAGTTCATGAACCAGCTGAAGAAGTACGACGAGGACTTGTCCCCATCTGTAAGTCTCCTTCAAAGTTAGCATGCTTAAGATGTTCTTAAGAAAATGTTGCAGAAAAGTTTAGTTCAATCCTGGATTTCAAGTCAATCCAAAAAGGAAATAAGGTATCAAGCTTTCCTTAAGTGGTTCAGTAACACTTGACAAGTTTCTGAAGAGGCTCCACACTTCATAGATGTTCTGCTTTTATATGAGTGAAGTTTTTATCTTCCTCTCAAAGTTTCCTATTCCCTTCTGTACCTTCTCTCCCAGTGAATACGTCCTATTTTTGGGCTTTAAAGTCACCTTCTTGAACTCCTTTTCTGCAGCGGGGTCGATTTAAATGTTATGAATACCGGTATATACAACAGGGCTCTCAAGTTTGGAACAGAGTTCAGAGTGAGATTTTGGCAGCGGTGTTTGGTACTCCAACTTCTGGCTCCCCTCAAAGTTCCCATGAAGCCCTATACCGCGAATGTCAACGGGGGGGGGAGGGGGTGCTAGTGGAGTGCACGCGTCTCATACAAGCCTAGTTTCTTTACAAAATTGCGGCGCAACTTGGTGGGCGGTACCCTGGAAAGAAATCTCTGCGTGAGAAATACAAGGTGTGGCGTGTGAGCGTGTGAATGGAGTGAAATGCGTGTGTCTCATGCCAAATGCGTGAGACTTGAGAGCTCTGATACAATTTCAGATATCTTAACCCTTTAAATGTGCTTGCCTGGACCCAGACTACAGAACGACTGCATCAGCACATAAATAAGGCGTTTGTGATGCTCTTCTATGAATTCAGAGTCAGTTTGTTAATTGACTTCCTCATCTTTCTCTCCCTCCACGGCTCCCCTCTCAGGATGAGAAGGACTCTGACTCCAGTAAAGAGAATCTGGATGATCTCTTCCCAGATGACCACGACGACCAAGCTCCAGGCAGTAAGTGTTCCTCCCTACTCTTTGTCCATCTACTCATGGCCAAGAAATGAAATTTAAATCCCTGGCCTTGGGACGTAGATTGAATTACATTACATGTTACTTTTAGACGCTTTTATCCAAAGCGACTTACATACTCAATACTGTGGGCAATCCCCACAGGAGCAATTTGGGGTGAAGTGTCTTACCCAGGGACACAACGACATGTTGACTGCAGTGGGGTTTGAACCTGTGACCCCCTGGTCCCAACACCAAGGCTCTATCCACTGCGCCACACGCCTCCGAATTGAAGGGGTTTCAAAGATAGTCAAGTGGAAAGATAGCTGTGATATAGAAAAGTTGAAAGACATAGTTAACTTCAGCTTGAACAAAGTGAAAAGGATAGTTCCAAGTGGACCCAGTGTTAGTATGAGGTTCTCTATACAGTCTATAGTCAGTGTATTACTGCAGTAGATGGCTAGAGAATATGTACTGCTGTGGATGGGGTGACCAAGCAAAAAACACATACACGCCATCTTTGTTTTTCTGTGTTTTGCAAGGTACAATAACTGTTCTTGTCAAGGGGGTCTGGTGGCTTAAAAGAGAAAAAATATAACATCTTTGGCTCTCCGTTAAAAAGGGCAGCAAGAAAAAGCAGTGACAAAGGTTCTTAATATGGTGATCACTAATAGGGGGCTAATCAGGTTTTGCTTCCCTTTACAGTACCGCTATCAAAATCAGAACAAATCCTTCAATACTTGGTAGTTTATCTATGATATGAATGTGCAGGTTTTTTTTCTGAAAAGTATAATTTTTCTGAAGTTTGCAGTCATTTTGAAAATGTCACTGCTGTAAGATACATTCATTCTCTTTTGCACCGGCAACACTCATATAAAGTCCAGTCACTGAATGCCACCAGTCAGAATATACATCACATAATATACAGTAGCAGGTTTCTCCTGCTTTCCTGAACTTTTCTGAAGCCTCCTTAATCTTTGATTCTTCAACTCTGTCTACTTTATGGTTTTCTGCCCCGCTCTGACTCTCTTTTCTCCCACTTCTCATGTCCACCCCTTCCCTCTGTGTTTGAAGGGCTGGTCTTTCAGCAGCTCAGTAGCCGAGACAGTAAAGCTGTGTTGACTGCAAAGGCCCATTAGTCAGGACCTGGTTTAACCTGGAGGAAGGCCAAATGGGGGGAAACAGATTGCTGTAATATACTGTAGTTCCGGGTATATAAAGTGTGTCCTTTTTAGTGTTGCTGTATCTAGGGTAAATAATCTTAGGCAAAATACTCCAATAGTGAATAAAATGGCAATCATTTAAATATTTGGGACCATGTAAAGAATGTTCTTCTTTGTCAAACCCATTAAAAAAGCAGCATTTGACAGGTATTATAACTTCATGTTAAACCAAAACCCCACCAGAAGAGCTATGGCACTAGTAAATTGTTGGTTTTGGTTGTTGTTTGGGACAACTGACAGAGCCACCCACAAGCCTCTGGTCCCCACAAACAACTGCAAACACTTTGTTCCCAAACTTGGCACTGAACGAGTTTTAAACCCTTTGTTGCTCTAAGTTGATTCCCATTTGGCTCCTGGCACCAGTTTGTCAGCCAGTTTCAATTGGGGACAAAATGGACAGCAGACTGCTTCACACTCTTTAACTTCTGCAGATCAGTCTATGAGTCAGACTGCAGCTTTGTTCACTTCACCCCTTTGTCAAACTGTTGAATACATCGCTCAAGTAGGAGGTTTGAATTAGAATGAGATTAAAGTATATCCAGCAGAACATTTTGAAAGAGAGTAATACATGTTTTACCTTTTAAAAAAAAAAATGTAATTCAGTCTTGATAACCATATCATAGTTTCATATCTTTTAGAAAGAAATGATGAGAAAGGGGAAGTTGGCTTTGACCATAACTCCAATATAGAATAACGCCAGCTGTGTCCTTTTGCGAGTCAGAAAGATCAAGAAACGAAAATGTCAGCTACACATTTGCGTCTGATGCTCTTCCTCAACTGAAGATATTAAGTTTCACTTCTTTTTTTACGATGAACAGCTTGTTCTCCAGCTTTTCCACTGTTGATGTGCCCGTCAGAATATGCTCAGTGGTAATTCCCTTCTCTTATGGTTATTCGTTGGTGTGATTTTAGGTTTTGACCCAGACTTCTTGATGTTATGGCTCACATTCTGACTGCAGTGCAGGTTTTAGAGCTGAGGAAGCAGGCTGATTTCAGTATATTGTGTCTAATTTGAAGACTACATGGAAAACTGGCTTCGATTTTCAGCATTTTCTCTAGCAGTGTGAATAAATCCTTTGCTGTGTTGAGCAGCACGGACTGAATATGAGTTATGACTCAACAGGGGAGACAGAATGTAATAGAGTGTAGCTGTGAGTTACGTCGGGGACTATGGGGAACATAGGATTTACATTCTGCAGCATAAATCTCAATAGAAGGTGTGTCACTGACTGTTGAGGTCAATACTGCATATTGATTTAAAGTTTAACATATGACGTTTCTCTCCTGAGTTATTAAGATAGAGACATCAGCGTAAATGCTATAGATAAGAAAGCCATAGAAAAGGACGGGCAGGAGATTTGTTTAGAAATATTTGTTTTAATTTATTTGTTCCATGCTTTAATGTTCAAAAATGTATTTTTCTCATACTGCCTGTGCTGCACCACCCTCTGTCTGAAACAGAGTCAAGTCAAGTCTGCTCTGATTGGTTAGCTGGCCGGCTCTGCTGTGATTGGTCAACTGCTTAGAGAAGTCCCGTCCGTCCCTTAGCCTATCACGTACAATGTGGTTGAGTGCTAGCCAATAGAAGCAAGAGTGTTACAAAGTGAAGTGATGTCATTATGTTACAGAAGCAAACAAAGGAGTCCAATGGAGGTGTTTCGGGCAGGGGGGTGGGGAATGGTGTGTGGGAGAGAAATCCCTCTAGAGCAGGGGTGTCAAACTCAATTTCATTCCGGGCCACATCAGCATTATGGTTGCACTCAAAGGGCCNACAGAATGCCTGGGTTTGTATCATGTTTTTTAATCAACCATCAATGGCTGATCATTAGGTAAATCAGCAGCTAATACTATAACCTTGCTACTTTGTTTGCAGTGGCAAACAAAGTAGCAAGGTTATAGTATTAGCTGCTGATTTACCTAATGATCAGCCATTGATGGTTGATTAAAAAACATGATACAAACCCAGGCATTCTGTATCAAATCATAACAAATATGACATCTTCTTACTCAGATCGGCCAAATAGTATAATATGACATTTGTATCCGTTTTTTTGTCTTGCTTTAGTCAATTAAAGGTGGGGTATGTCATTTATTTCAGAAACACTTGTTGTTATATTCCATGGAATGCTCTTAACATCCCGATAGCAATGAGTATCTTAAATGGTTTGCATCTGTGCACACATTTATCTCGTTCC